GTTAAAATTTCTTGATCATTGTTATCGCCTTCGCTGGGAGACAAATATATTCGTTTGTCCAAAAGCAAGTACAATATTGTGATAGCAAACTCGAGAATCTCTTTAAATCTGTATTTGCTACAACAATGTAATATCATTTACACTTTGTCCAAGTGAATATAAATAACTCAATTAAGAGAATTCAATGTTTTCCCGCAAAGAAACAAGCTATTTTTGGCGGAATTAAATTTTTCAGAGTAATTGCTAGTTTCTGCATCTAATTTTCGATTAAAGTCTCGTTCTCTTTCACCCTTTGATTAAGTGCAACTACTATTCTTTCTTACCCACTATTTTTAACTTCAGCAACAGCAATTCTATGGTAGAACAGGCAACGAAATATCGCAACAGTAAAAATTGGCTTCAAAGACGTTATTTTGGTTATCGACTGTACTTTGAACCTTGGCTGTCTTCACATATGCATTTTTAATCATGTGACTCATTGTAAAAGCAATAGAGGCGTTGCACAAGGACAAGCTTTTTTCTATTGGATGATCATTGCATAATGTTCGGAATGAATATTTATATAGCGCCTTTTCAAAAGCAATACGTATGTAACTTTTAATCCAGTCTTTCAAATTACTGATAAAACCCGAGGACAACATTTTTAAAAGAAAAAAAGTTACCGTTAGTCTTTATTTATTATCTGTTCAATTGGATATATTTTTAAACAATTTTAGAGGTTTAACTGTTTTGTAGTTAAGCACAAAGCTTCACAATGGGCTATCTGTGTTCTGCTCATCAAAGGTATCGAAATCTGGTTTCTAGCGTTGTAATTCCGCAGGCATACTACTGTGCCACCGGGAGGCGGAGGTTTAATCCCCAAATTCAGAACTATTTACAATCCAGTAGTAATCGGATAGTAATATAAATCAAAATTTGAACAAAACTTAACTAGTACATTAACGATTGATATCTACTGTTTCTATGTGTACTATCTGTGATACATACCGCAAACTGACTTCTGACACTGAAGTGTTAGAAATTACAGTTAGTGATAAGCATGCTTTGGTATTTATGCTTTATAGCTTTGACTACCCGTTTGAGAAAGGTAAAAACAAAATTGATACATAATTAACAAGTAATTATTTATTGAAATATTTTGGCGAAAGGTATAGCAAGGAAGATTTTTTTTTAGATATTTAAAAAATAGCCAATCTATAGAGGATTAGTTAATCATCATCTTGATCAAGCTTATAATTGTCAGAAGATGTAGTGCATGGATTTTGTTGTCCAAAGTAAGTTGTAATGTTTCACAACATTACAGTTTATGTTGACTTATGGAATTTATATGCACAAAGTTACACAATTGGCTATCTGTGCTCTGCCCACCACGGGTATCGAAACCCGGTTTCTAGCGTTGTAAGTTCGCAGACATACCGCTGTGCCACTGGAGGACTAATACTTAAGTACTTACTAACTATGATAAAAAGAAAGTGTCAGAGCCAGTTTCTTATTGAAGTTCCAATAAAAAAAAGTTTGTAAAGTATTGAAAAAATAAGTTAAAGATAATCCGTTCGTGATGAGCTGGTGCTTAACTATGGTTCCAGTGGCACAAGCGGATGAAAATGGCAACAAAATCCCCCTTGATTGGATGTCAATTCATCGTAATTTAATCCCCAGCTATTACTCGGTACTACTAATAAGTTGGTAAACAACTATTTATAAGCATAATGAAGTGATTTATTTTGGGAGAACATGTTACATGTTTCGACAGAGCATATAGTATGTTCCTCCAAAAATACGTCACGTTATCATGGTTATAAATCGTTGTTTACCAACTTATTAGTAGTACCGAGTAATAGCTGGGGATTAAATTACG